AAGTCTACAAGAAATGAATGTAAGTTAATGTAAAGTCCCCACAAGGAATGAAAACACAGCATGTATGTCTGTGTCTGTGTGTGTGAGCACTTGACCAACTGACCTGTCATGTACTGAAGATAAAGCTATTTATTGAAACAAAACTTTTTCGATTTCACCCTGACAGTTCAGATAACAACACCACAGACTTTTATTATTTTCCCGAGACAGGAATAAAAAAGTTTTTGTTGCTTTTCTGTTATTGTGTTTAGAGTTATAGAAATCTGAATAGTTCCTATTGTTAGGATGGTAAGCTCGGGTTTATTGATTCCACCCTGACTGGACCTGACTGGACTGGAATCAATTAACTTAGCAGCAATTGGATGGATTGACATTAAAGCTTCTAAAGATATCCATGGCCTCCAGAAAATCTGTCCTTATGGCTTTGGTAGTGCCCTGGTTGGGATAGTGAGCATGGTAAACATTATACTTGTTAAACATCAGAACACCACCATTGTCCATGGGAGCAAGTTAGCATGCTAACATTAGCATTTAATCCAATCACGACTGTGCCTGAGTTCAGCCTCACAGAGCTGCTAGCATGGCTGTAGATTCTTAGTCTCGTAAAGAATAAAATGAACAATTGAAGTTTTTCTGGTGCAGTCTACCATACAGTACAGTATTTTCTGTATTTTGGTATCCCAAGTATGGCGCACACTTGGTCCTTCTCATCAACTGAATAAAATATGGATGGCCCGACAGCTTCAAGAAATGAAGCCACCTCAACTCAATCATCCCCTGGTGGCTGGTTGCAGTATAGGTCACAAGTCACGCCTCCTCCATATTAGTGGAGGGGACATGAGCCAAACTAAAAACGTAACATAAAACAAGATAAATTTTTCGCAGCAGTCACTTCTGTAATTTTTGGTAGATATTATCATGCTGATGTGTGAACAAGTGATAATTTTTCTAGTAACTTTATTTTCAATAAATTATTTGATGATATAAGAAGAGGTGTATTTCAGGTGATCTGCCAGCTTTGATTTGAGGTGTAATGCTGTCACTCCACTTCTGGTTGCTACTGTGCAGAATCTGGTTGCGTAAAGCAAGATGGCAGCTGCCTTATTTTGTCTTCATTTTTGCATAATAGAGGGAGTGGTGATGCCATGTCTATTGTATATATGTCAATGGTCCATCTGAATATGGTATAATACACTGGGGTTTTTTTCAAAACAAATTAAATAATTTTGAGGATGTATTTAAGTACTTTTGAAATGAAATGATGAGCATATGATCAAGAAACAGTTTACATGCTAATTAACCTTTTGGACATGGTTTGTTTAAAAGAAAATACAGAATAACAAGTGAACAATAAATAATTGAGACAACTGCCTTTTTGCATATATGTGCCGTTACAAATCAACAGCCATAATTTTTATTGCATCACTAATTAAAGATGCTTTCTTCTCTCATTGGGTTGCTCTCAAGTTCAACACAATTTGCCTTAATCAGGCAATCACTCACTATTAGATCAGTACGCCACACCAGAACGCAGCAGGTAGTCATGGCCCCCAGAAAAAAACTACAATCCCTAAATTGTACACACACTTGTATGGGTCCTGTGACTCAGTAGAGTCTGCTAAAGCTGCTGCCAGAGCTTGCAAAGCAGTATTTTTGCCTTTATTTGTCGACAAGGGAATGGCACCAAGCTGCTTCACTGACATGTCTTTTCACAAGAAATTACAGGGAAAACACTCTGTAGTAATGTTCTTGCATGTCTCTGTCACTTTACATACAATACATTATAATCAGGTCCCTTTTAAGGTTACACATTTTCAGTAAAGCAATCATGCAGTATTTTTGCCTAAGACATGTCAAGCATTATGTCTGTGAAAGATGTAACACTTTGACTTTTGTTGCAACTGTGAAAGCTGAAGATAACTTTAAGTAACCTGACAAAATACATGCTCATCATAGATGCACACCATTTACAGCTACACATAGGTGTGTGTGCATGCACCCTGTTACACACATGACTCTATTTAGCCCTATTGTTTGAAAAAGATAAAAAATTGAATGAGCCAATTTGCCATGAGAGGAGAATAATCAGAGCATTACTGTTGTCCTTAGAGATCCTTTATTGAATGCATCACAATGAGACTTGATTGAAACTGATAATGGCTTTGAAGACTAGGTTGCTCTTTTCCACTTACAAATTTGTTCTAAAGCAACCTTTGACATGAATAGGACTGCCAATGACAAGATAATTAGACAACTGTTGAGAAGGGTCAAAATATGTGTGTTTATACCAATAGATAGAATATTCTTCCTTACTGATTGAATGTTGAGACTCATTTCAGAATACTTCATCTGTGTCTCTGTCAATTTACATAAGCAGCCAATAAATTCAAAAGAAACAGGCTGTATGCATGCAATATTGTCATCTACATTTGGATTTGAGTGGAAATGACTGAGGTGTGCATTACACTATGTGAGAGCAGAGGTAGGGCTGTATGATATTCCTGTATCAACACAAAGTCAGCATGAAGAAGTGCCGCGGATTTGAAAGTGCTGCTGACCTCGTCTATTTTTCTTCCAGTGCCATCAAGGCCACCGTGCTACAATGCTGCACGCTGCATCCATTTGTGCAGAGTAAAAGGTGTGGAATCAAGGGTTCCTGCAGGTCACTAGCCCTAGGACACCTCCTCTTATTAGAGTCAAGCACAGTGTCAGCACCGCAACCAACATGCATCATACAGCTACCTCACACATGCCTGCAAAATGTTATCTGTCTACACACAGACACCCCAGGCCTGGGAATATATTAACCACAGTGACCTAAATGGTAAACTTTTCCTCTGCTTACATATTTTAATTCATGCCAAATTCAGGTATCGACTACACACATAGTTCTCCAGGGTCTCGAATTTGATCTTATGAGTCAGGCAACATGATATTGTGTGACTGAATACACCAAGTCCAAATTGGATTCCTACTAACGCCTCCTCCCCCCTGCTGCTGTGACAATACTGATGAAAGATAACCACCCTGCATTAATCAAAAAGATGGAGCATTTTGATCCCACTCTCAATTAGATTACATTACATAATTTTAACAATTTGTACTAAATGTGATATCAATTATCAGCAGGTCATTCAGTTTAATCTCTTGCCCAATTCTGCCACTGCAAATAAAAGAAGAGCGCATTGGATCTCACTGCCTTTGGTAAAACCATGACATTGGCACATGTCTCAATAGCTTTGAGAAAAACTGGCTGTGGGAAGCTATGCCTACAATAAGCTTTTTAATGGGCTAATAACTAAGTTATCTTAACTTTGTACTTTAGTTCTTACTTTGCATTCATTTCCACCAAAGAAACAGTCTAATTATTTTAAAACCTGGAAGATCAGGTGTGCTAATCAATGACATAAGTGTGAAGTACACATGAGTCACTTATTTCAAGAACTACACTATTCCTTTTTCCTGTGTGTGGGTGTGTATGTGTGTGTGTGTGTGTGTGCTGCCTGTTAGTCCTGCGTGATTGTGCCTACTGTTTGTTTAGGATTACAGCTGACTCTCAGGACTGGGTGGTTTGATTTGTAGGAGGAGGGCAGCAGTATCGCTCCCATCACATACTTGCCTGCACCTCAAAATGCCAATAACCTGGAAAACAACAGATTGCCCAGGAGGAGGTGAACCAAAAGTCAAGCCTTGTTTATTATTTGGAGATAGAATAAATATTTTTTCTTGCCTACCAACCTGAAATATCGCTCTGTCACACATGCAATCTATTCCATAAAACCATCTATTGATAGTTAATTAGGTATCATAGCACAAGTGAGGTGACTTAACCTTCATCAGACTGTATCACATGAGAGGATAATGTAAGGGAATTATTTATTGCATATTTTAATAGAAAAAAAACAACTTATGAATGGTAGGCTTAAGTGGAGATGAATGAATAGAATGTAAAATACAAAGTTCCTTAGTGATCGAGTCATTTGTGAAACAGTGAACTTATTAGACAGCGGGGACGGGGGGTGGTGTGGTGGTGGGGGGGGGGGGGGGCACACACTTACACACGCAGAAAGATTTAACATTGAAAATTAATAATTCAGAGGATCAAACATGCAGTAAGCAGCAATTATCTAAGGGCAAGTGATCAAAATCCTCCACCTAATGATCATTAGAGTCTGGGCTACTTTTTATGCAGGCTGAGAGACAACCTACTGCATCCTGAATTACTGATACCTATGACATCAACAAGCATTTTCACAGAGAACCAATAACCCTAGAGAATTTAAATTAAAAAAACACCATAGATATGCAAATAACCCAGTGTATTATGATGAAAACATTATCATTTGATAACTAACTTCAAAATGTTACATTAAAGTCTGACAATCCCTTGTAACAGTCCATAAGCATTGTAGCCTACATTACAGCATGATAAAATGTAGGCCACATAGGTTGTGAGTCACATTCAGGAATGTTTGCCCTTTTTTTGTGTTTCTATGTCAGTCTCGAGTGGGCGTGTGATTTAAAGATAATGTGCATGAGTAAGTGAAACCAGACAATAAGCAAATAATTGGCAACCTCCAACTGACCTTAAAATGTTGAAAACTACTGTAGTGTGTTGTAATCTGAAATGATAAGACATTTTCTTTCACATTCAAGAAGCCACAATATGGCTCATTTAAGTTTGACTGGTAAGATAGCTCAGATGGTGAGCTATATCATAATTGGTTTGCTTGGGTAGCCTATTAAATAATTTTAATCAAGGTATCAAAGCCCAATCATCAGTTTTGCATTTTTGAAAATAAATTGCATGATGAATGCTATTAGAATGCAATCACAATCACATTTTAAAATCCTTTACATACAAAAACAAGGACAACAAGACAACACACACACATGAACATAACTGTTTTGTATGTATAGTGCTATACACTACACTGTGGGATGATGGGAACTGTAACACCCTGCTCCGTTCCCCCTGCAGTGAAATTGGCTGTGTGACCAGTAGGGAGAGACAGTGAGACGAGCGGCTTGTAGCCTAGTGGCCGGGGCTCTTTTTGTCTTGGTGTTGGACTGGATGGGAGGGAGCAGCAGCAGCCTCAGTACCAGGCAGTGCTCAGACCAGGCAGATAGAGGAGGAGGCTACTACATGCTGCCACAGCCGCTACCGCTCCTTCCTTTGTCGTACAGGGACGTTTTTCACCGCGGCCACACGTGAGCCAGAGGGATATTATTTTCTTTTTTTCTTTTTTCTTTTTCATTATTTCTTTTTTTTGGTTACACGTATTTCGAAGGGGACAATTAGGCGGTCGCTGGCGTACAAATGTACTCACTACACGAGGGCAGCGGTCTGCTACTGCTGGCGGTGTTGGCAGGACTGCAGGTAATGTAATGTGTAGCGGTTTCGAGTGGAGTTTCACCGGACACTTTAGGTGTTTGTTGCTTTGTGGTGAGGCTGTTTGTTGACCTGGGAGCCCGGGTCGAGCTGCTACCACCCTCACAAACACTACATTGCATGTTTTTGTAAAATAGTGCTATGTGTGTATCACAAATTAACCATAAAGTAGGTCCAACACGGCATTTAATTACTAGCAAGTCGCTGTTTTTTGTTGTAGGCTCGCGAGATGATGTGTTGTTTAAAACCACGCACGTTTAATAAATTATTTCAGTCTAGAGAATTAACATTTTCAGTGACGTAGCGTAATTTATGAGTTCCGAGCTGAATCTTTTAGTGTCCTGAAGTTGGATGATACAGGCCCACATTAGCCCAGTTTTCTCTTGGTTATATTTAGTTTACGTTTAATATTTATGTAGATGGCTGCAGCGTGTCCCTGTCCCCCGGTAATTTAATTGTCTCCCTGGTTAAAGCAACAGTGAAAAGTATCCTGCTGTAAATTACTGTGGTTGTGCAGGTTATGTATAGCCTATTGCATGCAACAGTGATTGGATAATTATTGCTGTCCAACCCTAAGGATGAATACTGTAGGTGTAATGGAGTGTTTTGTGGAATTGATTTATTTTCTTGTCTATGAGGCTACTTTGTCATAATTGTGCTCCCTGAGAAACAGAGAACAACAGCAGTTACATGTCACTAACACAGCTTTAGCAGCAGAAGTATGTGTTGCACAGGATTACTGGTGTTTGCCTTAAATCCATAATATTGTGCATCTTAGTGTCTTGTTGTAAGTTGCTACAGTTCCAGCTCTTTTCCACCCCCCTTCTTTGAAAGCATTTTCCATTTAAATTCCTCAGATTTAGAATGGCAAGTGGCACTGATGCCCACAATGCTCTTTTTCAGCAGGGCTCCTCTCGTTTTACATTCTTTTCAGAGTACATACAAAGACGCAGGGCCAGGCCTCTTTTCCATAGGACCCGGTCAATGGTGAGGTTGTGTGATGGAGTATTTAGACATGCCTGGCACTAGAGAGTTTCTTCAGCTATGCTCTCTTTGTGATTTCTCACTGTTGGTGTTTTTTTTTTTTCTTGCTAAATTCATGCTGGTGATTCATAGATTTCTCTTCTTTGCAAAATTCACATTATTCTCTAAATCTTTGGTGCTTACACTAAACATAGTTTTTCTTTTCAAAACAAGGAGCCAAAACCATTATATTGATCACAGTCATAGCCTTGCAATGTCTGTAGACGTCAGCAATTGTTATTTCTTGGGTATTCAGACATTCACACATCAGTGTTTATTCCATCGGCGGTAGATCGTTAGCATTTTCTTTTTATTCCCCTGTTCCTGTACTTCAAAGTGGAGTGTTTGTCCAGAGGAGTGTGTTGATCAGAGGGGCTGAGCGAAAATGTTGGTTATAACCCTAGTCTGGGCCCCTCCAGGGGGGACAAATGGAGCTTGTTCTTGCCTAGCCATGCTTTTTAGCTAATGCTTAACCCTTTTGGCCTCATTATCCTAATTGCAGTCCCTGCTATAAAAACAACAGATGCTTTTGTACAACTGTGGGGACTTCAGAATGTGACCAAGAGGTTTTTGGAGGTAATAGAGTGCATTTGTGAAGGTTGATTTATGACTCATTGTAGCACAACCCCCCCTTCCCCCCTTCTTCCTACCATCACAGATTGCAGCAGAGGGCAGGGGCACCCCACCGTGCATGCCAGGCTTCTCTGAAGATGTGTACAAGGTTGTGGTGCCAGATATCACAGAGAAAGGACAGCCCCTTTTCAACGGTGAGTGGTGAAATATTTCTAGTACTGATCCGCTGTGGATGCTTGTTATGTCTGTGTTTGATTGAGTGTGTGTATGTGCCGGCATGTGCCTCAGTCGTGCCTGCGCACCTCCATGTGTTACATTTCAGGGAGGATCAGGACAAGCCTGACATATTTAAACAATTAGCTTTGGTGTAGCTGTGCTGTATTGCAAGTCATGTAGTTTGCCTTGTAAACTAGCTGAAATGTGGTTCAATTTTATATAGCGCCTGTCCATTTTGCTTACATGATTTTATTTATTAATTTTTTCTTAACACAAACATAAGCAGCTTGTTATTCACAGGCTGCAGATTGTGGCTAAACAGCTTCTCTCTTTGCAACTGGCATTTTGTTGAGCATATTAAAAGTGGAAAACCTTGTGATTGTGTTGGAGACACAACCATAAATAACAATTAATTATACACAGATTTAAATACTTATGTGACTTTACATAAGCAAATATCTTAGCTATTAAGCATTCCATGCCTTCATTGATGCACTGGATTATTTCCATTATCATATGCCATTATTTTGCATTTGTATTTTTCTAACGTAACAGTACTACAGTACAGATTTCAACTGTTCTGTTTGGTTCCTGCTAGAAACATGGTAACATTTCCAACTTTGAGACAGTGGCAGTAATAACAGTAATTTAAGTATCTTTCAAAATATTTGTTAGAAGTCCTGTTGGAAACCCAGCTGCTGCAGTTTTTATTTCTAAATATAATTAAGGTGCAGAGAGGAGAAGTACTTTTTTTGCAGTCGTCCATTGCATTGCAGCAGGCATGACCAATACTGCCTCTTTGGAATTTAATATTGGCAAAATGAGAATGCCGTTTCCGTGAAATGGTACGCATGCCCACAGACGGTAATAAAAACTGTAATATATCACCGGTGTGCTATTAGAGAGGTTAGAACCTTGAGGTCATTTGGACCAGAAGACATTCTCACTTGTGTTGGATTTCACAGTGTGTGCCTAAAACTTGCATGCTGCCGTTGGTGTGAGTCAGAGAGGTGGAGGGGGAGGTAGCAATGAAAGAAAAGAAAGGATAGAGGGAAGTGAGTGCTTAGATGGGTGGGTACAGCTTTAACTGGGCTTTATCTTTTGCACAAGTTTCTGTTTGATCCTGCAGGTGATGGATTTCCCTCTGTTGGCTTGTGGATGAGCTGTGACTTGGGTAATCAGGTTCCCTTTTGTTTGCCCTCCACAATACCCCCCTCCCATTTTCTGTCTTCCCCTCCCCCAGTGAGCTGTTGCTCTGTGGAGATTTCCTTGACAGAGAGGGGCACTCCTGTGCCATTGTAATGCAGCAGAGCTCAGCAGCGTGGGATGGTGTTAATGAATCTGCTTTCTCTAATGAAAAGCTCCTGTGACATGTTTTGAAAGACAAAGCCGCCACAGTGTGGAGAGTATGCCCAAAGTTTTTCAACTTTTCTTTCACTATACTGGTTTGAAATATTGTTGTTGACCAGGAGCTGAAGATTTTTCTATTTAATGCTTCTTTAGCTGCATGTAGCAGGCTAATCCTTAATTTTTTTTTCTTGCACGCTATTAACTTTGTCAGTTGTAGCCTTAAATAATCAATGAAAAGGCAATGGGTGAATAAAGTTGGAGTCATTTTATTATAAATATACCTGAAAGTCTTAAGGCATTGGCTTTGTCATGTTATAAATAACCAAATAAGCGTATTCCAATATGCATAAACTTCTCCTTATGTTACTGATGAGTGATCTGCCAGGGTAGTTAGCTTATTTGAAATAGGATCAGCTTGAGTATCAGTATAATACTACTAGCAAGCTAAGCAAAGTGTCAGTAATATGACACCTTTGCTCATGTTGTATTGCCTTTGACCCTAGATATGTGTAAGAGACAGTGGAAATTAGCTGTTGGGTACCTTATCTTTGTCTTATCTAGTTGCAGTCTGTTCTTTGTTATTGATTAAGACAATACAAATCCTGAGACCTCTAAAGCCTGGAACTGGTGACAGTTCACATGTAAACAGCTGGCATTGTATGTGCTAAATTAAAGACATCCTGTGGATTTGATGAAGGCAGTTGTAGCCGGCCAGTTAACATAGTTATTTGACTGTAAGATCGAATCACATTCCTTTTAGCTGGCTAAGTGATATCCCATTGATTTTCAAAAGATTTCTTCAAATGCATTTCTTTAAAGATACTTGATAGAGATGCTTAGAGAAAAGCCAGGAAGGACAATTATTCTTCCATTAAGGGAGGTTATTCTCACTGTTTGCAAATGCAAAATCATATTGTAAGAAGAAGTTAGAGAGGTCTGCCCTTTGAGGGCCCCATGACCTTGCTTTATACATGGGAATATTTGCTCAGGGCTGATACTGAGTGAAGAGAAACAACCAAGCATAGTTATTAATTATGAAAGTAGCTAAACTCCTTAAACATTTGTGTGGCATTTCCTCTTGTGTTGTTTAGTCTAAATTGCATTTAATTTCAGGTGGGCTGTGGCTGTGGGTGGTTTACCACTGGGTGTCTAATGGAAATCTGGTGGCTTTGGAGAGCTGACACACATAGTTTCTTTTCCAGATAAAGCATTTAAAGCAAGGGTGCAGAGTGAGTGAGTCAGAGCATTATTCAGTAGAGGTTTCCCTCCCTAAAAACTGGGTTAATGAAAAGCCCAAAAGCCTAATTGAGCTTAATACACTCTCTTATGCTGCTGTTCTGCCTTCCCTACCCCCAACCCCAACCATCTATTCTGCTTTCATTTTCTTTCCTCCACCCCTCAGCTCTGTGTTTTACTTCCTTTTCTTGACGATTATGCAAGCTGTCATGATAAAAGAGAAGCAAGTTTACAGTCTGCTTTAGCCTTGGTTTAGACACTTTAAACGCCAGCCTGTCAAGGGTCCAGTGAGCTGGCTCCATAGATGAAATAGGGGGGAGGGATTTACAGTCGACCGGTTTAATAATGTGATTGAAACAATTAGTGTTAATGTCAGCAACGAGAACACGAAATGGAAAACTCTCTCGGGCTAAATACGTCTCAGTTTTTAGTTAATCTGTCATTAGGTATACTTACTTCTCATCACTGTTTGTGTAAGGCAGACCTTTAGACAAGAAAAACATTATATTGTGAAGACCAAAATTTTGCTCTGACTGAAGCCGTTTTTATGTCGTTCTGGTTCTCTGCACTCTATTAAAATTCTGATGTCCTTGGGTACAGCTGGGGCCACTCAGATGTGTTTAAGGGGCCCCAGTGTTTGGTGAGACATGACCCTGCTCGACCCTCTCCTGTAAACTGGGCCAAGTGCTCAGGAACTTACTCAACTCTTTTTCCTGCTCTCAGATTGAGAATCAGGTGGTGTGAGTTTCTTGGTGATGCAGTGATGAATTGAACACTAGCCAAAGAGGTTCTGACCCATCACCAGGGAGGCCACAAATGTGTGACACCCCTAGCTCATGTTGTTTTGACCTATGTGGCTGATAATTCATCACTTGGAGAAACGGGTGAAGCCAAATTTCACAAACTGAGATTTGAAGGCAATCTGCATCTCCATTTTTGTAAGTACATAACTATTATTGTCCTTGTGGTATGGGCCAAGGACTATAAGGGACTGTCTCTGGAACACTGCAGAGTTTCAATTATATATAGCTCTGTTGTTTAATGAAATTGTTCGATATAACTTTTTAAAATAGTTTGAAAACAGGGTTCTGCTGGAGCCCATGGTGTCAGGAACAGTGCGTCTGCTATAAAGATCTTTGTGTTTGTTGTATATTAGATTTGCATTGATGTCTGTGCCAATACTGAATAATTCAATAGTCAAACATGACTTTCTTAATATTCCAATCCCTGTTCAAGATGAGGTCCATAAGCACACAGGAGCCATAGTGCAGCAGCACACGAGGAAAATAAAGAACAATATGAGACGCTGTGGAACTCTTCCTTTTTAATAGTATAGCAGCTGCTGCATGTTTCAGATATATTCTTTGTCACTGTGGGACATCAAGCACAATGACTATCCTGCTATTGGTGGGGTTTCACCCCTTTTTAATGCTAAAGCAGCAGGTTCATTATAGGTTTGTGCATAAGAGCAGTCCAGTGCCTCCAACCCCCCTCTTTTTGCTGGTAGTGGGTCAATGAATACAGGGTCTTTGTTCACACTGGTCAATATGTTGTAACAAAGGCTCTGCCACAGTTGTGTGCTAAAGCATCACTACTGGGTTGGGGATGAATTTGTTATATTCTTTGTTATCAGTCTGCATAAATTTATCATCTCGTCACTTTTTTTTTAAATTTATTCCTGGGAGCATCATGGCCTAGATAAGCACCGCATATTGTGACTGCCGGTGGAATCTTGGCAGTATATGGTTTTGCAAAATAACTTGTGATTCAGTTTCCAAGGAAGCAGAGTTAGTCAAGTGCTACTGCTAGTGGTGTGGCCACTAAGAGCCATTTGGCTGAAGATCACAGCTCTGAGGCTATCTCATAAAAATGAAACATTAATAATGTTAGCATATTAGAGCTAGTTCACCCATCTGTGGCTAAGTTGTGGGTGTGGTTTCTGAGCCTGCTAGTTGTCTTGACAGGATAGGTCATTTTCTTTTATATCTGACCTTTTTTAGGTGCTAAGTTCTTAACCAAATCAAAGATAGGTAGACAGGTACTTGTACAATGTCTAAGTGTAGATAAAGTATTTTTTTTAGAGGGCTGACATAGCCCTGGTGGCTTCTCATCACCTCTATTCGTATTGCTGTTATCAGCTACAGACCCCACCCTCTGTCACTGGCACCTAACTGTTTGCTTCTGACATTAAGCAGTGAGGCGTCTCTCTCTAGTGCCTGAGAGTGTGTGTGTGTGTGGGGTGGAGTGTTCTGGGCATATAATTAGATTGTTCTACCCAGATTGCTCTTAGATGAACAAGTGTATAGACGGCTCCTGGTAACAGTGACTTCTGTAACCAGATGTTGGTAAAGGCCTAGTCTAACAACACACGATTTGCCTGAAAATCAACAAT